AGTTATACTACCAAATTTAATTTATATCAGTAGTATGATAAATGAATTTAATATTCGCAAAGCAAACAAATCACGAATTAGCAAAAAAAAATGCGAAAGACACGACCATAAGCATGACTGGTCTGAAAAACCGCGCGTTTTAGACTGCTTTTTCTGAGTTTTTGGAAGTTTAAGATAAAACTAAGACGTCATACCTCAGGAATTTTTTATACCCATGCAAAATACATCTGTATGCGAAGTTTCAAGAAGATTTAACGTTTTAAGGTGGCTCGATATAGTTATCACAAATACCCTTCTCAAGAATCGCGAACTCAAAACCGGGTGACCATTTTTAAGCGCAGTCGCGGAAACTGATTAACAAAATCAAAGAACTTCCAAAATGACCTGACGTGAGCAGTTGCTCGCGCCATATCACGCCATTGCGCATGTTCTATAGCGTTTTATGTCAATTGCTGACGTCATTAGAATTTTCCATTTTAGAAAAACAATGTGTTATATCTCTTTATTTTGTCTGGTGACCTATGTTCAAATTTTGCATGCTGTATTGCACCGCTAAAAACTTTCATTATACAACAAATAAAAAATTTCTGTAATGCCAAAAAAATTTTATCGAAGAATATGACATTTTCGCATTTTCCAAAAAAAATGGCATTACAGAACTTTTTTATATTTTGCTAAGTGTTAGCTTTTCGTCCAAGTAAAATAATGCAAGAAAAAAAATTGGGGGTCACCATGCTTCTTTTCCAAATATACGAGACGATAGGCCATTTTGGAGTGAATTTCGTACACGTATGTCGTCATAGCAACGAACTATCTGTTACTAAAACTAATATAATTTGAAAGTAGAGATATCAAAATATATAAAAAACCCAATATCTGCTGAATAAATCCTCAAAAGGCGTAGTTTGAACATGTCAAAGTGTTAAACACCTGAATTTTTGAAAACTGTATCGAGCCACCTTAAGGTCGAAAAAAAAGCATTTGAAAATTGACAAAAATATTGCCATATTCAAACATAGGCAGCCCAAAACGGCGTGTAGAATGCACCAATAATGCTTCCAAATGTCAATTTGCATTAAGCTCGCCCCATTCCTTTGTCATTTGTCGCGCGCCGCAAGCACTCAATTTGAAAAGCAGTGTTGATATATATAGATTGATATATATATAGTGTTGATATATATAATCTATATATATCAACACTGCTTTTCAAATTGAGTGCTTGCGGCGCGCGACAAATGACAAAGGAATGGGGCGAGCTTAATGCAAATTGACATTTGGAAGCATTAT